TATCTTTTGGGCTCAAAATATTACAGAGATTGGGCCTTAAATATTCAAGTCTTACGCTCACTTGTGCAGATTTTTGGCTGCTTTCATTTCTGTTGATGAAGATTTTCAGTGCTGCTTCTGAAGTTTAGGAGAGACATGCAGAATAGCCTTGGAAGGGTTTTCCTCATGAAACCTCATATTCCAAGTGTACATGGGAGTCAGAAGGAGTCAGAAAGCCATTTGCAAGGTTGTGTCAGGAAGAACCCATCTCTTACTACAACTTCTAACAATCTACCTCAAGTAGTAGGAGAGAGAAGATTGTTTTAGGAAATTTGAGCAACCTTAATTGAGGAACAAAAGGTGACTACCAAGAGGCTTTGAAATAATCAGGCTGGTAATTACTTCAATTTTAACAGGAGTTTTACGTCCACTGTGAGCTTTTCCTCAGTGATTTCATTTAGAGTATCTCCATGTGAGGTTATGAATATCCTTAACTCATGAAAAAAGTCCTTTAAGACTGGTACCCTTCCCTTTTTCTTTATCACCAAGACTTGTAGAATATATATGAACGCTGTCCACCACAAACCTCAGGATGTCAAATGATCTAAATTGTCAAATAGCACAACCTAAATGTAGAGCAGAAATATCTTTAGCTTTGGTTCACAGATGATGCAATCTCCTGAGAGAGCATAGGTCTAACCAATTCAGACAGATGTCCAGAATCTCTGGTTGGGAAGGGATGTATATTAAGTGTAATAAATGCTTTCTTGGCTTTGTCCTTCTCTCCAGCAGTTTCTTCCATGGTGAAATTGTTGCATTCTTAAATAATTTGAAGAAACTGTCTTGGTGTTGATAGCTTTGGCTCCTTTTTTGTGTGTGTGAAGGTGACAATTCTGAGGAGCTGGAACAGAAATAAGGCTTGTTTTACAGCCAGGAGGTGGGATTGGCTGTGGTGCAGTTGTTTCATGGTTATATCAAGAAAAGCTTCTTTCTATAACATTTTGCTTTAAATACATGAAATAGGGAGTATTTTTTCTGACTAGATAATACAAATAAGGCCCACGCAGGGGGCCTGTATATGCAAATTAGATACACATTTGCACAGCTGCCCTTGTGCTAACAAGCACCTAAAAGCCAGTCAGTCCATCCCATTTCTGTTGCATTGTCTCTATCAGCCTAGCTTTCATCACCAATTACGGCTAACATCTGTGCCAGTACGTCTGTGTGTCTAGCTGTAATCCCCTCACATGCTTGTTTTATATGCACACATCTAACTTAAAAAATGTCCTTTACATTTTTGGAAGCATACATCAGCTTCCTTTTATAATAGCTGTCCTAAGTTATACAACAAGCTGTCTCAGTGCTTCATTTGCAAGTTATGAGAAGAACTTAGAAACACATGGAGACATGTAGACTAAATTATATTAAAAACACAAGTCTCTCTTTCCTCTTGAACCGCAGTTGTATTGTCCCCGATCACAGACAGATGAGCGAGCAGGGAAAATAAATCCATATAGAAAAAGGTTTTATCGTTGATTGTGAATTACAGAAAATGTATATTTTTTTTTCCTTTACATGAAAGATTATTTTGAAAGTGAGCATTAATTTCTAAAATTCTAAAATGTTTTTGTCATTCGGGGTAGTTACAGATTTTCCCTTCCTCTCTGCCCCCTTGCCACCTTCTTGATCTCAGTTTCCTACTGTCATCTCCCTCAGGCAATAGCACACTGTTCTCTCATTTGTATACTTGCTGCAACTTTCTGTGCACCAGTCATGCTTTTGCCCACAAATCTTACGGCACTCTGTTCATTTAGTTCCCTTCCCTGGACAATTGTGACCACCATAGAGCACAGTGACCCAAAATACACTATTTTTAATTTGAACTGTAGGAACATAGCGTAGCAAGGGGAAAAGTTTAAAATAACAGAAATTGTATGTACACATCTGTCTTGCCGTAACTTGTTCCATCCTCCAGAGGGGAACTCTGATGGGTTCATTTTTCTCAGGCATCCAAGTCTCTAGTTCACCTTATTTCAGAATGCTGGTTCTCATGATCTTTCCAGATTGTGGCCCCTGAGTGCCTTTCAGTCTTTGTACTCTCCTCTCTGGCTCCTCTCTGGCCACCCTTTTCTTCCCTGGGGGGGGGGGGAGGGGGGGGAAGCAAGCCAAGCTCAGCAAGGTGCCATAGATAACTTGCCTGAATTGTCCTGAATTTCTGCTGTTGGTTTCTTAGGTGGGTTGCTGTTTCTCTCCTTGGGTTTATCTCCTGAGCACATAGTAACTGAATCCACATACTACAAAAGACAAAAGAGAAAGTCTACGCTACTTGGACAACTAAACAGAACGTACAGTATTAAGAGAGTGTCATAGTTAATTCCAAATCATCACAGTATGTATCAAAACAGCAATATAAATTATATATGAGGATAGGTGTATGCATTCTAAAGTGACTTAAGACAATTAATGCTCTTGACAGCTTTTGTGTTAAAGCTCTATATACAAATAGAAATCATTATTATGATGTAAATCATTAAAAGATTAGTGTATTAACAGAAGTTAATTAAGCATAATAGACTTCAAGAGGTTAATAGATCTTAGAGTTATATATACAGCCTTGTAGAAGACCTTGATATAGTTACAACTTCTTGTAACAATAACAAGTCTAGAGTATGCCCTAAAACAGCTCTTCATCATTTTGTAGCCACTAATTTACTTATAATGAGACCTAAAAAGGCAGACATCCAGAACTTTACTGGTGAAGGACCAGTGTGGCAGGAAACAAGTTTCTGTTGTCAACATTTCTTTAGTCTTCTTTAGATAATAAACAACTTTGCATTGGCTAATGCACAATATAAAATAGTCTTGCACGATCTTCAAACTACACAGCTCTCATATACGTGAGAGCTCCAGCACTATGGATTTTCAAATGTTTGGGCTGCTTCCTTCAGAAGAAAAACATTGTTTCTACTGCCAGTATCACTAAATGCAAAATGAGCACTGGGTAATCAGAGATGCCAGTGTCCAGGTTCTGTCCAATCCTCTCCATCAGATCACATTCATGTGGAAGAACTAGTGATCCCTCAGCCCTGCTTTCCTTGTTCCCTTGCTCTTCACTGACTGGTTTTTTTGTGGTGGTTTCTTCCACACAGGCCAGATGAATTAGTATTTTGTGGTAGAGCGTAGATTTCCTTTGCCAAGAACATTTGCGTACATCTGTGAGAAAGTGCTTTTACACTTCTGCACAGCTTTTCTCTGTGTACGTATCAGAGCCCTTGGGCATAATGAGTAGCTCACCACAAAACAATGAAGGAGTCAGTCTGAGATGATAACCTGGCTGTCCCCATATGCAGATGTGATTTGGGCTTAGATGTGGGGAAAGAAGAATAGGGTGGTTCTGGTCTTGTGACAGCTCTTAAAACTATGCTTGTTATCGTAGTATCTCATTGGGAAGCTGTGTATTAAGGGATGTAAGTAACACTTGCTATAATACGCTGTTTATTTTCTCATGCTGGCTTTGTTTCACGTGCCGTGGGATGTCTCTCTTGGGGAGTGTACTTTTTCATCTGGGAGAGGAGAGGGTTGTTTGAATATAATTATTATTGTGTATAAATATATTCTGGAGGATGCACATCAGAAAAAAAAATCACCTTGCACTTGAAGCAGAAGGTGGTGAGATTTGCAATGATTTGTAAGTTCTCTGGGGAGTTCATTCTGCAGACCCACGACAGTTCTGCGATGTGCACGTACAAGCTCTGCCTGTACTGGACAGTTTTACGCTCTCAAAGAGCCAAGTTGTTGACCACAGAATTCAAACAGACTTTTTGAACATTTTGTTGTTTTCAGTACAAATAAAACCATTCCAGGTGGAGGAGATACTACCTGTGAAAATCAAATGACAATGCTGGGCAGCAAGTGGGGTTGTGCTCTGCACTGTCTAGAGGCAGTCGGGATTTATCCAACTATTTGCTGTCTGGGACAGTTCTACACAGCATGAGGTTTCTGGCTCTGTAACCATCTGCAATTCTTGGATTTTGTATCTACTTAGGGCTTTTTTTCCTCTCTTTTGGTGGTTTTCTTTCCCGTCCTTGCTCTGGCTGATTCTGAGAACCCCAGGCAATCTTCACAGAAACAGACGCTAAATAGTCTGTAGCAACAGTAAAGGAGCACCTGGATTGCTCTGCTTTAACAGTGTTTCTGTTTTCAAATAAATTATCTCGCGTGTATTTTAGTAAATGGTAATGGAAACAGAGCTGACACAACACATCAAATGAAAATTCAAACTCTGCGTCAGCATTTCAGACACCGAATCTGACAGCTAAAATGAAGAGTTGCTTTGGTCTGCTTCAACTTGCGTAGTCTGGCTATTGCAGAGAGGCAGAAAATCAGAGTAGAACTCTTTCTCCTGTGTATTTCGCCTGGTGCTTCGGGGTCGGCAGCCAAGGAGACTTTGAACAGCACTCATACTTAAGGATATGATTTGAAGATACAGTTTGCAGATGAGCATGTGCTCTTTTTAGAAGGACTTTTCATTCTGTGATTTCTGCGGGTTGGGTGACAGTGCCAGAAGTATGGTCCCACCTGCTCCAGTTTGCTTCCTTTGGGGTGGCTTCTGCTAGCAGCCCCAATGCTCTGGGGTGGCCTCTGTTCCACCAGAATGAGGAGTGTAACTAGAGCTGGCCCTGGAGAGGGGTGCACTGGCAGCAGGACACCCAGCATCCCTCTGCTCCTGCTTCTCGTGCAGGCCAGAGGAACCTGACCCATAACTTTTTGTACAGTGATTGACTCAAATCTATCCCTGGTGTTATCCTTATTATGACTTAATAGTCTGCATTTGGCTCATTAACATTTTAATGACATTCTTCTTGAAGAGAAAATACTTTGTGGAAATTGCAGATTTATGGTGTTTCTAGGAAGATAAGTTTATTTCCAGCTAATAGGAACCACAGCTCACTGGGACTAATGTAATGCAGCCTGTGTTACAAGTGTGATTAGTTTTATATCCTATTTTCTTTCCCCCTCAGAGGATTATGCCCAGCTGTGCAACATTCCTGTTCCAGGATCTCGACGGCCATATGGACAAGATGCTTTGGTTGACTTCGAGGAGCACTACACTCCAGAAACTAATCCATACTTTGTTGAAGACCGTAAGCAAGTTTCTATGTTATGTAAAATACTTGAAATGAGGGTTGTAACTTGGATTATTTCCCTGTATCTGGCTTCATTCGTCTGTTTGCTTCTGAGTAATGTGGCCTATTTATGTTTTAGTTATTCCTATGACACTAGCTTTCGGTCAGGTGTTCTGGTTCAAGAGCCAGTATTGTATGAGAGTCCAGTTGGGCTCAGAGTACAATATTAATTTTTAATATAGTTAAATAGTTTCTGCCAAGTGTACTAAATTTGTATTTACCAACAGATTTACAGCTCAAGGTCAAAAGGATTGCCAGTTTTCCTTCTCACAAATTAATTTTCCTTTGGAGCGTGGGATAGATTTCTTCAGAGTGCGTTTAGTTTAAAAGAAGAAAAAAAAAATCTCTTCACGCCAGCTTTCCGTGATTTTCCAGCAGAATTTATATGGGGGAGATGGAGAGCATGAAAGTCTTTCTCTCTCAACAGAGAAAATGTACAGCACAATATGATCAGAGAGTATGTATGTATATAGCCTTGAGGCTAGATGGAATGGCCTGGCAAGCAGGGCGTGAGAGATCGTATACAGCACCTCAGTTGTACTTCAGGAATATCTGGGGTTTTTATGGGTCCTGCCCAGCTCACTGTTAAGACCTGTGGGAGAGGAACGCTTATGGATCTCAGCATCTTCTTCAAAATCAGCCACCCTGTTACAGGTCTAGCATATTCTGTCAGAGTTTTAGAGAGGAAAAGTGGAGGTATCCGAACTGGTAATTCCCCATGCTTCATACACATGGCCTGCAAGTTGCTGTTTCCCAAAGTGCTTCTCCTGTACAAGGAGTTATTTTTAAAGAAACGCTAATAGGTCAGAACAGGGTGAGAGAATACAGAACTGCACAAATCAGGTTAATGAGTTCATTTCTCTTTAGCACTGGAATGATCTTCTAGCTCTGCACAAAATTGTAAAAGGTCTTATTTCTTAATATCCAGATGATTTTAATTAAACAGTACTGAGTGTTGATGTCTAACTGAAACGTTACGCAGATGTTAACTACTAAACAGAATGAAAAGCCCAGAAAGATGACAGGGTAATCAACGTGATAGGTAAATAGTGAGTGGGAAAGCAGCACTTCGCGAGTTACAAGCAGTGGTGAATAAATGCAATAAAATTGTGGACAGTATTGATTCCACAGCTGAGTCCACTGTCTTAGAGGCTTAAGAGCTCATGTCTCTTACTCCCATCCTATCACTGAATCGGATACGGTGGCAGGCAGATGCATAAGAAACCCCAAAGCACACAGCTGTATGACTGTCCTCAGCAGAGGCATATTCCCTGACTGATACAGAGAGAGAAAAAAATGTCTATATGTGTGTACACATGTTTATGTACATGCATATATATATATGTACATATATTCAAATAAATGATACATTTTCTTCCTTTTAAAAATATCTATGTATTTGGGGAGGGGGGCACCTTTCCCTTTCTTGGCACCATGTGTTTTCTAAATTAGCAAAGCTCTTCCCTTTGAAAGACCCTCAGGAGCCCTCTGCAAGCTCTGTTAGAGGACCTGAGAATACAACAAAAATTGGTGAAGTTTCTTACTACAGTGTTACCATGCATCATGAGAGTCCGCTCAATATCCTCAGGACTGAGATGTGATTTACTGGGTTCATGGAAAAGATTGTAATGTTTCCCACTTAATGTACACTTGTTTACATCCTGTGCGTTGTATATGTTCTTGAGATGTGGCATATGTCAGCAAGTCCTTATGTCACATTCAGTGTCTCCAGAATTTATGCCGTGTATGACTGACCAGCATGATCCTTACTAAGAATCCCACCAAGCTAGAGGAAATCCAGGAGAGAAACAGTGTATGTAGTGAACGAGGTGGGGGGAGTGGAAATGACAGTACAGACCTTAAATGGAGGATGATACAGAAAGGGCAGAGTAGGAAAGGAAAAAAGAGCGCTTCAAGAACCAAGACTGGATGGAGTAAATATAGAGGAGAACAAGCACAAGGAAAGGGAAATTCATATTCATAGGTACCATTGCAAATCTGCTTATCACAACTGTTACAACAATATAAATCAGTACGCAGATTTTAGACAAACCAATAGTTTGTTTGTGGAGTCACTATATTCGTTATAGTAGTTATGGGACAAATGGGGAGATATATCCTGCTCTGCTCCACTCCAGCCTCACTTTCCCCTTCATGTCTATGCTATGTATTGATTATACTGGGAAACCTACAACTCCCAAACACTCTGAACTTTCTCCTGAGAAGTCTTTTTGATGTAATGGGCTGCCATCTGCAGTCTTGTTACATCACTGCTCCACGAACAGAAAGCTCGTTAAAAAACTTTTGCAGGAATTAGGAGCAATTCAGCCCTACAGAGAATCTCTGAACATGTGGAAATGTCAAATAATTTTTTAAGTCCTTCCTTACATATAAAAGCATAACTGTCAAAAAAGCCCTAAGACGGGGAGCACAAAAGGCATTGTACAAACCGCTGAATACAAAGACAACTCTTTAGCTTTGACTGCTCACCATCTAGAATTATGACAAGGAGCAATTGGTAGATTATAGCTATTTGTACTGGCACCAGTCACTGGAGTACCAGCCAAAGGGTTGTTAACCAAAACCACAACAGGAAAAGCAGTCTCTGATTTCTTCTTACTTTCCTTAAGGCAGTTGAGATTTTTTTTCTTTTAAAACATTTTCTTCTAGATAAATTAGAATGCATCTCTTCCCCTCTACACACACCTTATTTTTTTAGAGTACTGTTTTAAGGAACTTTTACCCCAAACTGCACTACCTCTTCTTACCTTTGTTTCCATAAAGGTTGATACACATACAAATTCAAATAAACGGTGCTATTTGGAAAACACTGATATACCCTTTAAAAATATACTGTCAAATTATGCAGTTTCTTTCACCAAAAAAAAAAAAAAAGACATATTTTTAACACAAATTGAAAACCTAAGAGTTCATAGTTATTCAGTTTTCATCTTGAAACACATCACAGCACTTTTCTAGTGCATTTAAAACTCCAGATGGTGCAGATCTGCTAAAGCTGACCTATTTTCTGCAAAGTCAAGTCACATTCCAGTAAACTTCTGAGAGACTTTTAGACTCTCACTATCCATTTGGGTATACTGATTTAACAGCTCTGTAACTTACTTGTTTGCAATTCTTTTTTCCACCCAGGCTTTCTGAACAGCTTTGAGGAGTTACAAGCAGAGGAGTGTGGTATTCTGAATGGATGTGAAAATGGGCGATGTGTAAGAGTCCAGGAAGGCTACACCTGTGACTGCTTTGATGGTTATCACCTGGACATGGCCAAAATGACTTGTGTTGGTGAGGACAGCGTATTACTTTACCTTCTCCTGTTAGTTTGTCGGTTTACTTAACTCCTTGACCTAAGGAGGGGTTGGAACAAAGGGGATGGAGATCATCACCTGAATTGTATTAGAGATGCCAACTTTGTTTCATTTACTGCAAAGGCCAGTAAATATTGTTACAGAAATAACTGTGTTGTTTTTCCTCAGTTCATCTTGGTCATTACACCTGTGTTCAGTTAAGAGCCTAGAAATGAGCAGACACATGTGTAATGTAGCTTAAACTAATGAACTTAAACTAAATGAAGCTTAAACTTACATCAATAATTTAACACTAATATATGGAACAAGTGTTTTTCAAAGGCTTTAGTGAGCTAAGAGAATGGAACTGTATCCAGAGTAGAAGAGTCATTTTAGGAACGGATTTTTAGAGTGGCTGGATCGCCTAATTTTGCACAAAACCACTTGGTGGGGTTTGGCCCCTGATTCTCACCGATTTCAACAGTCAACAGACCCAACTATTCCTCTTACTTTCACACTAGTAAATCTGTACAACTACAAACCAGGACATTTAATGTCTATGTCTTCAATTAAAACAACAGAACATGGAACAGGCAAGTACCAGTGAGAATGTGAAGCAAAAAGACACCCCTCAGGGTCGAAGCCTAGCAGAGACTGTGCCTGGGTATTTCAGTTTAAGGTCTGTACTAACTTTGCTGAGCATTACACTTCATAACCCGCTATTGAGGTCTCCCAGCAGTGTCATGATACTGCCTGCATGCCTTGTAATCTTTAGGACTTTATGGCAAGCTGGCCTCCTTAGCGAGAAACATGTAGCTCCTATGTACTGCAGGCCAAAGCTGCACAATATTGAGTGCAGGTAGTTTGCTGGTCGCGATTATTTAGTTGACAACACCAATAGCTCCTAAAGTATTTGATTTTTTTAAAATACAGGTATTATACTAAGAACTTGGAGCTTCTTTCTTATAAGCCACTTTTCAGTCATCAGATAAAACCTGTAAATTGTTCTTAAATTTTTGTTTTGCAGCTTAGGCTGAATTTGGACTTGGTAATCTAACAGTTGAAGGCCATTTAATACACTATTGACTTCCTATGATAACTTCTGCCTCTTCCCAAATCATGTTACAGCTTTTGACCCAGACTAATTCCACCTGATCTAAACTGAAAATAAAGTGCTCAGTTTATTCATACAGAATGTTCTACTCCTGGCAGTGCTGGAAATAAATTAGTTTTACCTCCACACCAGACTTAAGTACGTGTCTTTTGATGTCACCTTTTTGCAGATGTGAACGAGTGCAACGAGCTGAACAACAGAATGTCTCTCTGCAAGAACGCCAAATGTATTAACACAGAAGGTTCGTACAAGTGTTTGTGTCTCCCAGGGTACGTACCTTCAGACAAACCAAACTACTGCACACCACTGAACTCAGAGGTAGACAGTGAACTGGAGTAGAGGAAAATCTCCATATCCTAAGCCCATATACTCTGCACTGTATAAAGAAAAGGAAGAAAAGTATTTAACTTGAGAAGAGAAGGCACCAGAGTATCAAACGTAAGGGGAGAAAAGCATTAAAATGTGTCAAAGGTGAGACATGATGGGCTGATTGTGTATCAGCATCACTGACATGACAGACCAAATGGACACATTACTTTGAAAGAAACGATCAAGTATATAGTGTGTTCATAAGAAAAAAGAAATCTTTGAAAATAAGCAAAAACAGTGCTGTTATTTTAAACAGAAGAGCTTTTTTTGTTTGTTTGTTTTTGGTTTGGTTTTTTTTACTATTGCTTGATTAATTTGGCATTTAAATAGTGATGGAAATATTTTATATTGCTATGTCATTTTTTGATCGGTTCCTTGCCTACTGTTTCTTTTCAGACCTTTTTCTGATCAGTACAAATTCTATGATACAGATATTGTTAGGCCATTTTATAAGAACTGTTACACAGGGTAATGCTCCTCCTTCTCTGGAACATTGGTCAGTGACTTGTTTTTAATTTGCTAGTTGTCTGCCCTGTGGAGCAGGCACCATTTGTTTTCAAATGTTTATATGCCTTGGCGAAAAGTCTTTATATTCATTTTGTATTCTGTATGGTTGTTACTGCACTTAAAGTCTTTAGAACCTTTCTTGCCAAGTTCAAAGCTGCTAGTGGACAACATTGGATTCCTTTTGTACATTAAACCAAAAGATTTTAGCTCACGTCTGTATTGTAATGTGTAAATTGAACACAGGAGAGATCTTGTATGATTACCCTAACATATTAAAGCTGTATATTAAAACTCAATAAAATTACCTTTTTTTTAGAAAAAAGCTATTTACTAATTGTAGGCATTTTGTTTTATTTTACTGGTGTTCACTTACAAGAATCAACCCCTCAGGTGTTTACAGTACTAGAATTCATTTACATTACAATAGTTGGAGGGACTCATCTGGCTGGTTTTCCTTCTCATGCTGTTTTAATAAGACCAGAATCTGAATTAGTTGATGCCTGAAGCTGGGCTTCCAGAGGGAAGATTTCAAACACAGACCTACAGAAACTGTTTGACTTGGAAGCTGATTCCCATGGAATTTTTCTTCTTTCCTGGTTTAGGCATGTTTCCCACTAAATCTACAAATAGGGCTCTTCAGTATGATGGCCTGGTTTTCAGAAAATACTAAGAAGGGGGAGAATTTCCTTTTCTTTATGAACTGTACCTTCCCATCAGCTCTATTTTTCAGTGGAAGGAGAGAAAGAGATTATAAGACTGACATGTTTCACTTTGACCTTCTTCAGAGTGAAGGAGTTTGCTTTGGAAATCCCAAAACAGGTCGTTTTGGTATTTTCCAAATGAAACATACTTGCTGTGTCTTTTAAACCTGCCCTGCATTAAAAGGAAAAGGATAACACAAGACTTTAAAAAGCAGGTCAAATTGGGTCCAGTTGTCCGAAAATTCGATATTTATCATTTCATGAAAAAAAGAAATACTTGTTTTGGTTCTGAATCAAATTTATTTTCCAATATTTAGGTCAGCCACTGAACCAAAAATATCATAAGTTCTATTCCTTCCAGTACTGCGCACTCAGTAGAACTCATGAAAGCCCACGTGCATCTGTCCTTCCCAGGGCCCCTCTATCTGCTGGAATTTGACACTAGGACTAGTGAAGATATTGTACGTTTAAGATCTGATGGTATCTTAAAATTCAAGAAAAAATGCTGAATAAAACTGTAGGGGGAAGGATCTTTAAGGAAGAGAGTGTTTGTAAAGTTTCCAACTCCCTTGACTTTTCTAGAATTATGCAGGAGAGGGGTGGAGGGCCAGTCGCTCTTCTCAGGCAAAAGAGGTGGACTACAAACACTACAGCTGGCCTATAATTGCAAAAAGAAAAAAAAATCAATTCTTGCATACCTGCTGTGGTTAAGGGGGAAGGAAGGTTTGGTCTTACTAGGGAATTCCATAACTAATGAGCTCCTAGTCTTCCTGCTTAAGGTTAATCCTGCGATCTTAATAAAAACCAAAGTCACAGTTACAACCCTTCACTGGGTTCAAGAGGAGCTGTGGTCTGCTTTCAGCTATCCTGAAAATTCGTAGACAAGACGGTGCTCCCCCCAGTCCCACCTCCAGAAGGCCTCCTGCTTCAGAAACTGGTTGTATTCACCCCTGAAAGCCTGCCTAGGCCCCAACGCTGCCATTGCAGTCAGCACCACAGGGACATTTGTGACATCCCAGTACTCCTTCAGTCCTTCCCCAGCTAGGGAGTTAAAACGGCTTTACAAGCTCTGCTTCTCCTGGGAGTACACCAGTATGATAGCTGAGGAAGTAACACTCAAACTTTAGTACCCTTAGAAGTCGTCACTTGGCAACCAGCACTGTCCTGAACATGTAATTCTGAGCCACAAGATTGGATCCTTGCTGATTTATTGCATCTTTTTAAAACACCAAGTTTGGAATAGCCTGGGACTTTGCCATTCGTAAACAATATACACTCTGACCCCCTTACTTGGTGTTATTTCAGACAAAAAACCAACCCAAACTCAAGCTGTTCCATGAGCAACAAAACTAAAATGAAGCCTGAATTCCTGTAACCTTTCCTCAGAACTCTCCTCAGTCAGACCAGCTCCAGCTCCTTGCATCTCTGCCTCTCTCCACAGCACAGGCAGCATCCGTCTGCGGCTCTGGGTGCAAGGACAGGGTGCTGGATGCACTTGCATTGACACAACTGCTGACAAACTAAGTGTTGGCCGTGGTCTCAGCAGGGAGGGTTACCTGGGTCACTTGTCTCTAGCTGTTCATCAAATTGCATAGACCTCAGATTGACTGTACTGGCTTTTTCATCTCGATTGCCTTACACACATGGTTGAAATCGGTCACGGGGTTAAAAGCTACCTGTAGGTTCAAAGTAATGGCGTACACTGGCTCCGGTTCCAGAGAAAACAAACCAATTGGAAAACCTGAGCCTGAGTGGCCCCTTGGCCTATCAATTTCTATTACTAACAATTTACAAGAGGCTCTCGTGTGTCCAGCCACCCATTGCCCCTGCCCAATTCAAGAGGCCAGCAGTTGACCCAAGCCCTGCATGAAGCCTGAAAGCATTCTTCAGGTTCAATAGCCGTGTCCTCGGCACAGCTGCACTCGTCTATTGCAGACACATAGCAGCAAACACCACACTGTGTGCGTGCTTCTGCCTTTCCCTTTTGCCTCTTCTTATTTCTCATATGCCTTAAAACACACCCAGGGAACTAAAAGCAGACCAAACAGCCTGAACTCCGCTTACATCCCAGTGCTTAGTATTCCACGTTGCGGGCTCCAGGCCTTCAGAAACGCTTTAACGAAGGAACCACAACTGAAAGAATTAAGTGAAATTCAGCCAATCTAACCCCAGCCTCTGGAGCCCACCTACTGTGCCCCAGTGTAGCAAGGCTGGTTCTGTCATTTCACCTGAAAAGCTGCAGGGCTTAGGAATACAATTTTGATTCATAGTTAAACAAACATTTTCTTAACATCATTAAGACGAGGGGTTGGACACCACGGATGTAGCCATTGACTTGTTACAAGAGCTGCGGTTTAGGTAAGAGCCCTAAAAACACAGAAACCACCACGTACAATTCCATGATTCAAGTTTCTGAGTGCAGCAGAGTCTGGAACTGATTACAGTTTATACCAAATGGCACCAATACTTTTTACATCCATATGGACCCTTTAAAAAAAAAATTAGTCCTTTTTCAGCCAGCCATTTCCTTGCTAAAATATTTAAATTGCTGACATGGTAGAACTGAATTCTGCTAGCTCCCTTGTAATGCTGCTCTGTGAGGAGGAAGTTGCCACAGAACTACAGTGACACACATTGCAGCTAGAAAAATATTTGATATGAATAGATACTTTCCTGTTGGGATGCTATTCAGTGAAAAATTAGCCAATGTTGAAACTATTCAAAGTGAGCACTAACATTCCTTGGGAAACAAACAGTCACAGCTGGACAGATCATTTAAATCCAAGAGACAAAACTGGCAGTCATGACAAATATTCAGCTAGTCAGTGGCAAATGACACACTCAAATTCCCAACCACGAGTAGTCCTAAAATGCTAAAGGTGCCAAAGCGGTTGTCGTGAGCTATTAGGTGCCAGTGATCCTCACCCTCATGGGGGTTTGAATGTGAGTTTTGGGTTCCTCACTGCCCCTCAAGTGATGTCCACATGGCAGCGGAGGAGCTCCTGCCTTTGGCACTCCCTCCTGATTTCTCAAAAGGAAAGGTGACAGATCCTTTTAGATTGTGTCAGGGGCCTGATCTGGCCAGCAACTGAACCACAGTTCATTCCTTCCAAGTGCAGAGCCAGCTTGAAAGTCCCACTGCTGCCTCTAGAAGAGACAACAGTATTGTTCTTCTAACAATGCCACCCACTTGGAAGAGTAGCTGGTACTTGCTGGGGACTCTGCTAATGCCAAGCAGGCCAAGGGAGCTATTCAGGAGCAATTCAGGCAAAGAAGAGGTGAACTGCTGTGTGTCACAGAGGCTGCTGCTCGCTTCAGAGATCATTATTTGCTATTTATACAGCTTTTTCTGTCAGAAGATCTGAAATCTACCTAGAGAAGCAAAGTGATGTGTCCAAAAGGGAAGCAGAATAACTAAGAGGGAGTGAATGAGGAAAAGCAGCCATTTGAGCGACGATGTCAGCTTGTGACAGAGTAACATCATTCTTTTGGAGAATGCCAAGGACTGGGCCACAGTCACTGCATTCACCTGCAGGAGTTACCTCGCATAGCAGGAGAACTAGAAAATTTCAACTATCCGGAGACACCGCTTCCACAGCTGGCACAGGCTGCGTTTGCACCCCAAGCTGTGCAAGATCTCGACCCTCACCACCACACCACCCACACCAACCTTTACCATTTGAGCACAGAGAGAATATGTGCTGAAACAGGATTAGCCTGTGATGGCCTGCATGAATAAGTGATTTTACTATCTGGTGGGGAAAGAATGATGTAAACCAAAGAAATGCAGGATGTCAGCTTTCCTTCAAGACCACAGAGTCACCAGAGATGTATTTTGACTCAGAGATTCCTAATGGATGTCTGCAGGCTGCGTGTTCTGTCCCAGCTGTGTCTGGGGCCAGTGATTGCTCTGCTTTTCTTCCTCTCGAGCTGTAGGGCTGGGAAGACACCTCTGTGCCTCAGCAGCTGATCAGCCTCACGGAACTTTGAGGTTGCCCTGCCTGAAGAAGGAGATTGCACCAGGGGCCTCCAGAGGTCCCTTCCAAGCTACATTGATCCAGGAGAGAAGGCTGTGACCTGACACAGCAGCCTCTGCTCCCTAGCCTTATGTGACACAGGGAACCTGGGAGAGGGGACGTGAACCCCCATTTCCCCTTCTCCCACACCTGAGCACCTGCCAGGAGCATGTCTTTCACTTTGGAGAAAACAGAACACCAGTCTGCTCAGCCCATCTCAGGAGAATCCCATCCAGAAGGAGCATTATGTGCAATGTGCTTGGTACTGACCAGTATGTTCTTGAAGAGTCAAGTGGTAACCTCAGGTAGAAGCAGAGTTCTGCAGTAAAGTTTTTGTGCTGACAAAAGACATAGAGGAGGGAGGAAATTAGAATATTGTTATTTCTCTCTACACTGACTTTCCCTTCCCCTCAAGTCATGCTTTGCCCCACACTGCTTTCCATTAGCTCTGAACCAAGGGGGATGGAGAGGATACTGCTAGCCAGCATGGAAAATTTCTATGTGATAATTGAAGCATCACCTCCAATCCCTATCTACTCACGCTGCCAGGATCCATTCTGGGCTGGATTTTTCCAAAGCACTCCATATTGATTTAGCTCTGCTC